CGGCAGTTCGAAAGGAAACCTATTATACGTATACTCACGTCTTTATTACATTTGCGGGACCTAGGTACAAATAAAAAGTATTCATGTGAGATATTTACCCTCCAGATAGACCAATATTTACACCCACCAGGTACGTGATTCTTTAAAGGATTTTTTTCCTAATCCATACATTCTTCAAGGTGATAGTCTTATTTAATAGTCATGTCATGCGATGTTTTCTAAGCCGCGCGTAAGTGTAAACAGAAAACATTCAATATTTTTTCTACCCTGGTATAAGGACTTGAACAATCATGTAACCAAAGTACACCACAATAGGAGTTATTAAAAATCTCTTTCCTTACGTACGTAATTAAATAAGGACTCTTATTAAAATTCAAACAGCAGTTGCTATACACGATTTACAGATACTCTTAATCAATAAAATGACACGTGTCTTGATGACCTGGACCATATTAAAAATAATCTTTTTGTTCATTTAAAGATATGAATCTTGCCCTCTTTTGTGTTATTGCTTACTTTACGTGACGTCAACGGACCGATCACTCATCATTCATTCTGCTACCAAAGCGACGCATGTGCCCCTTTTTTTACGACATCAGCGCTACCAGTTTCATGGTCTTTGAGTGATCAGAAAGGATGCCGTCAGTGTAGAGGGGAGGTTTACGTACAGAAGTCGTGAAACAAGACCTTGCATCCAGAAATAGTCGCGATGACTATATATATCACGCCCATCTATCAACAACCTGTACTGCATTACTAACTTTAAAAAACATGGACTAGATTTGCTTAAATCGATATAAGCCTAGTCGTGATAAATATCCAATATAGCTAATAACATCAACAGAACATGTCCACAATGCAAAGAAAACTTGTGGCAAGATATGAATCATGTGGCACATCTGATCATATATAACCATTGATGCATCATTGCCTTGTGAGGTGTTTTTGAAATATGTTTTCGTGTCAAATATTTTTTCTCTCTCAGTTCATCACGCTGCCTGGAGGCACTGTGCTTCAATTAGCTAAATCACTGAGGCAGTCCCAGAGGGGGGATTTAAGGTTAACCCGGGGGTGGAGGGAGTGTCAGGGTCAATATCCTATATTGCTTTTGACCATAAATTGCCAACATTTTCGAGTGTTTTTCGTTAATTACTCGTAGCGTTTAGTACATGTATAGTTTAATCAGTTAAAGAAATATTCGTTTTTTTATGCAAAACTACGTGTGTGGTCTCTCAAAGATGGTAATACTTGCCTGTGTGTAGATATAGGCGGGCATTGGTGCATTCCCGATTTTAGCCTTCAGCCACATATTCATTTTTTTGTGAGAAACAAATCTTCTGTAAAATAAACACCCCATAGTTTAAGTGCAGTTCCAACATCTATCATATGCTAGTACCACAACTGAACTTCAGAAAAGGAAAGCCAGGTTAATGAAGTTTGTTATCTTTTTAATGTTCTCGACCATTCCATATGTCCCGTATTAAAGAATACTAAAACTTCGTTTAAAATCTTTACCTATTCTCGGTCTACATCAAGTTATTTTGTGTAACGGGCTATAATTATTGTGCAGATGCATACTACGCCAAACGTTCTCACTCGGGTAACTGCGTTAACCATTTTATGTATTGTGTACCCTGTTGCTTCTAATGACTCCCTCCTACCCTCTACCAGTGCCGCAGTTATTATTGTGGACATTTTTCGCTGAGGCGACATCAGACCAAAATGACTGTCTATTTATCTAGAGACATCTGTGAATATCTGTGGAAAATCAATCTGTCGCTCTGGTAGAGGGTAACACCCCCCCTCCCCGGGGCCAATCGCTCAGAGTGGCATTAGGCAAGTATACAATGGCAGACCCAGGAGGGCATCGCCTTAGCCCTTGAGAAACATGTACCCGCGTCTCTAATTCTTCTCTTTCAAAAATAATAAAAACAGTATAATTAGCGAAATAAGACGTTGCAGTAAAATTGTCCTCACCCAATATTTTAAATTGCCTGAGGCCAAGCGATGCAAACATTTTTATCATTCTTGTACATGTATTTCCGCTGCACACGTGCTAGTGATGCTTAAGTAAGAGAATGCAAAATGTTGAATAGAGGTGTAGTCATGAGTTGCGATTAAAAAAAATCGAAAAAGATTACCACTATCAAGCGCTAACGGTGGGAGAATAATTGATCTAAGACGACAATTATACAAACAGTATTTTAATATTAAAATGGGAAATAGTAAGTAAACGCTGGACTTTAAAGGAAATACAGGTATATACTGTATTAGAAGTACAGTTAAAATGCCATTAAAAGCTCTGTATTACAGTAGTCTACACGGCACGTCGGGTAGATCTTATGACTGACCGAGGTTAAGTATTGAACACAAATAATGTGTTTACTTTGCCTATTGTCCTCTACGCTGTCCTGTCCTCTCGTGAATGTGTCACCAAATAAAGCGACAGGACATTAAGTGTTCAACACGGTAGTTTTCTCGACTACTGATGCCAGACCAGAAAAAGTGAGGGTCACCTTGCAGTAAGAGAGAGAGGTACAACTGGGAATAAGACATAGGTGTTCTCGCGTTCTGCCTTCACATTTCACAGACGAGGATTGTCTGAACTTCCAGACCAAAATCTCGATCATCTTTGATGCAAGATATATCAGTACTAGTCCACTAGAAAGCAGTGTGTTAATAATATCTGGCTATTAGGCATGAGTATGCAATAATTTCCAAGCCACGGGAGTGGAGGAAATTCCTCGAGTACTGCACAGTGGGTAGTTATAGGCAGGCCCGTAGCCAGCAATTTCAAAAGGGGGGTTCTTTTTCTGAAAAAGTGGACCTTTTCCCATAAAAACGTCATGTATCTAGATCAAATTTTACCCAGAGTTGACATTTTCCCAGCAAAAGGGGCGGTTCTTTCGAACCCCCCGAAACCTCCTGGCTACGGAACCTGATAGGTGTAAACCAGTACCCTTTCTAAACATAAAGAAGTGTAACATTATGTCTCTGTTGCTGACGTGGGGAGTTGAAAACAAAGTTTTGTCCAGCAAAAGTAGCGCAATGTCTTGTTGTCTATCCTAAAGAAGAACTCATTCGGGGATCAGGCCCGTAGCCAGGGGGGGGGGGGGGGTTCCGGGGGTTCGAAATAACCACCCCTTTTGCTGGGAAAAGGTCCACTCTGGGTAAAATTGTATCTACCTGTATGTACATGAAGTTTTTTATGGGAAAAGGTCCACTTTTTCAGAAAAAGAACACCCCTTTTTAAATTGCTGGCTACGGGCCTGGGGATGCATTTTTTCTTTTAGCCTGACCTTACTGCAATCACAGCATTCCTCTAGTGAAGTAAGTCAACAGAGAGACCCCGTTGGACCTCAGGCGTGTGAATATGTGTTATATTTTCGGGATCGTCTTCATAGCAGATTTTAAGCCTGTATCAATTTAGCTTTTTAAAGTGTAGTACACTTTTAACTCAGAACTGAGGAAACCAGTTTTCAATCGGGTCATTGAATTGACCAATTTCATGGCAAATAACGCAGGTAAGGCGACGTGCTTGCCTCAAGGAAAAGTCCCGGGATGCTAATAGACCCCTCAAATAGATGGCAAGTAACCTGTGCTACTTGAACTAAGTGGTATGATAGAAGAAATGCTTCTATAATCTATATGCTCAGAATACGATATAGCATAAATAAACAAAAAATAAAATAAATAAATAATCAAATAAATAAATAAATAAATAAATAAATAAATAAATAAATAAATAAATAAATAAAAAATACATATATGAAAAAATAAAATGTTAAGTATGAATATTGACAAAAAATAAATAATGACTTAAAATGGAAAAGAATAGATATTTAAAGAAATCTGAGGAACGCGCCTGTTTAAACAAACGTCTCAAATCCTTGTGATAAAAGACCCTAAAAGGGTTTTAGGAAAATGTACTTATACAGACAACATATTGATGAGGCCCCAAATAGCAGATCATATCCCTCTTCAGGTACAAATAACATAGGTGATTCAATACTGTAGAGGGGGTCCTATTCTTAATACCCATGACCCGCCAATACACGTATACTGTGTACTTTGTATATATGTATAAGACATGGAGGTGACCTTTTTGCTTGACAAGGCTTTGGATGCAACCAAATATACTTGTGACACCAGGCGGAACGAAAAAAATTATTTAAAGGTATATCTTGCGCTTTTGAAAAGGTCTTGGAAGATTATTTCTATTAAAAGACTTAAAAGACTTCAGACCGTAAAAAAAAATTAAAAAATCAAAATAACGAAACCGATAAAAATCCTTAAATAAAACTATCTGCTGTCGATCATTAAAGCATGAGAACAAGACGTTTTGGATTCACTTCTTTTTACTTAGATATGATCTAAAATATCAACTCCATATACTGGGAAAGGTCGAGCATAGATTCGTGAGAAAGAGATAGTTGCTACTTTTTTCGAGTAAATAAGATTTTGGCCTGTAAATCCCGTATACAATACCTCTAAGTTTGAAGTACAGGTAGCTCACAGTAAATCGAAACGACCTGTGCTTTGATGATTAGGTAAAGTCTGGTGTATTCTTCGGTACGTACTTTTTTGTTCTGTATTTTGACAACCAGGTTGATTCCGGGACAGCTAAACATGTTATTATTTTTATTACTATTATAGAGAGTCCACACGTTTACAATCGACATGTGACTTGTTCTTCGGTTTCCTAATACTCGCCGAACAATACAAACTACAAGCATCCCCCCCACACATTTTGAGACTTTAAATAAAGGTGTTAAATATTTGGAAAAGTGTCACCTGAAACAAAGCATCAAGGGCCATCAGTGTTGCTTGTTGCTGCGTTTGTTTGGGGGGGGGGGGGCACAGTATAAGGCTACCAGCTAAAGTGCCATGAAAAGGTCCGCATACTTCATCTCAATTACGCCATCCGATTTTCTTTCTTCCCCTCAAAACACCTTTTGTTGACGTTAAGTCGACATCGATTGTTAAATAGAACGCGCGGATCACGTGATCTCAGGTAAAGCTTACAATGTACAGTGAGAGAGTGTGAGACATTTAACGATTGCGAACCATTGCACTGCGCACCGAGGTCGAAAGCAGCCATTTTGTCCTCGGTCAACGCTCGTAGCTAGAAGCGTCGCATTCAACGAGATTTTTTAGCACCTCACTGCACGCGTCGCATTATATGGAGATAAGATTGTCGTGAGAGGGAAAATACAAAATGGCTTCGAAACGAACCCAGCTGATAACTGCCGTGGCTTTCCTTATCTTGTGTCAAGTGTGGACTGGTGGCCTGTCTCAGACCCAGAACCCGGGTAAGTGACACCTTTAAAGTATTTACATCTTAGCGGCCAGGTGTGGTCTCCAACGGGAGAGGGGTGTGTTAACCCTCACTTACTATCTACAGGTAGATCTTACTCAGACAGCTTGCTTCAAACTACAGCGCTAGATCTAGATCCTGGTCTCATTTAATATGAACTCGATACAGGTGTATCTGTCATGACAAACGTCGAACTGGTCCATGTAATCGCCTTGCACAGATCTTGTTGAAGTTACACTCGAGTATTTTGGGTTGAATACTGGTTAATCAAGAACTAAAAGCGATCCAATGTATACGTGAGTAAAGGGTTAGTTGTGCCCAACAATAGAAAGCGATCCCAGACCTGTTTTTGACACCTGTAAATGCAATTTAAATGACCGCCGAGGCATTGCTACCCGTAAGACGTCCAAAAAATACAAATATACTGTACACGTATGTCATCTCGTGAGAGAAGGGTTATGTACCTGACAATAACTTGTTTTTGACACCTTTTATGTAATTTAAATGACCGCCGAGGTGTAAGTACTCCTACCCGTAAGGCGTTCACAAAATACACTTATGTAAATATACAAATATACATGTATGTCTTTAGTTGCATAACTTGGACTTAAGTAGGTTTTACTCTCGATAGGCCAATTTCGAATACCACCCGGGTAAAAACTGACCTGTTCTATAAGGCTTCTCACAGGGCTTAAGGTGTGGCCGGGTCACCTATGTGCGACGCATTCATTCGTGTTTGCAATTCTATACGTTAACAAAACACTGGAATTGTATCTGTCCTAAACAATATTGTACATGGTACAGAAGACTGTTGATCTCCGCGGGGTTGCGGAGGATTTTCCAAATTATCTGTTTTCTCAACTCTTGTTATAAAATACTGCAACGTTTCAAGGGACAGCATGGCGCAGGCGTGTCAGGGGGAAGTTGTGCATGCACAGGGGTGTATATATGTAGTATATGTGTTTGTAAATGTATATGTATATGTATCTGTATCTGTATCTGCGTGCATGCCTTGGTGGGGGGGGGGGGACGTATTAAAGACAACATGTGAAGGGCGAAAATTGAGGATGGTTTTTCAAGATATCAAAGTTGTATACGAAACACAGTGCATTGAGATCACTCTATGCAATATATGGACCGGTTCTAAACTGTGTCGCTCTTATGGACTACCAGTGAAATGTACGTAGAGAATTTGACTATGTCTAAAATGTAGTTTATTTATCTCCGTCATATTGAATGCTATATTCACACAGCAAAGGAAATCAGTTAGGAAATATATTTCATGTACATGTTCATCATGTATAGATCTGATCATTATTCAAGATGACTGGCCATGAAATTCGCACGCTATGAGGAAATTTTCGTGCGTTAACGTACAGATATATGAACTGCGGGTGTTCTTGCATAATTTTGATAATTTTCTTCCTGCGTCTTACATGCATCACCGCATGTTCTTATTTTCCCTATTTCTTTATATTGGTGAGTTAGAAATGAAAGATATTAAGCCCCCCCCCCCCTCCAAGACAAAACCCCACCCCCTTCCCAGAAAATTACCCATTTTATTGACATCCGCATTTTTACATGTGTGTGTGCTCACTTGAATTGTATGTTTAGTTTTTCTAACCGCTTCCAGTATCTTGTAAAATGTAATGTGTATAATTTCGGCCATGACTGCATTTTGTTGATGTCACCCCCTTCCCCATATATTGTCGTTTGACAAGTGACAGGTTCGCCAGAGGAGAGAAATGCCTTACCTTGACCAAGGTGTCTTTGTAATATTGAATTATACGTACGAAATAGATAAATAAATGGACAAAGATAAGTAGATAAATAAAAAAAAGATTCAAGTGAAGATATTAATACAAAGATGACATTAAGGAAATTAATGGATAAATAAAAATTATGAATGAATGGATAAAGAAATATAAATAAGTGAAAAACAAAAAAGATTAAATAAATGAATAAATAAATGCATCAATATACATCATTTACAGCATAGACGTTGCACATGTGCTTCCAGTGCCACTTTTTTGTGCATAGAGTAGTAAATACATACGGGGCACATGTTCTTCAAGCCGGTATATATATATATATATATATATATATATATATATATATATATATATATATATATATATATATATACAAGTACATGTAAAACACCATGTGATGTCTTCCCTGGGGGGCATACATAGGTATCTCCGTGCATATCATGTCTCGTACTTAACGTGACAATATGGGTGCTTTCCCAGAGATTAAGATCGATCTAAAGATTAAGTTTTAGATCGACCTAACTCCCTGGGGGTTCACGCTAAATTGCAGTCAGCCGAGCGGGCACCATAGTTAATTACCCCCTTACAGCTTTTAGTAGGCGGGACAGACGCTTAAGCCGGCCAAGCTGACAGTAATCTAGTGAGACTCCCCACAGGGATAGATCGATCTAAAAATCTATGGAAATGGGGTGTATGACAACTTTCTGTTAATACCTACCCTCGAATATAAACCCCGACTCAGTTTAACATGTGAACTCACCGCGTCGCCTTTGTATTGGATAGAATAGCGGTGCCGGGTTAGTCTTATTATAAACGCCAGTTTAAGTAATAATACCCTGTGTCGGTTTCGCCAGCAGCACACTATTTGGCATGAGCATGTCATTTTATTAAAGTCTTACACAAAGTGGCTTTAAGTGGCTTAAAACGCGCCCCTCGTGGTAAAATCTAGGCACCCCTGTACGTTTCACACTATTTCACGTTTGTTATTTATTTTTATACACGCTAAATCTCTCATACAAGGCCTTAGTAAGCAATTTCAAAGGGGCTATTCTTTTTCTTTTTTGGAAAAGAGGATTTATCCACCTCCTCAGTTGACCCTACAAAATGTCATAGAGCTTTGATTAAATTTCTTTCAGAGTGAACCTTTTCCGACCAAAAGGACGGTTCTTTTTGCACCCCTTACCCCCCGCCAAAGGGTCTGTAATTCACTATGCGACAACATGGGTGCTAGATATATTGTTAGTAAGAACAGCTGTGTACGAGGGAGACGGAAGTGTACATGGGTATAGCCTCTGGAGTGAAGAGCAATATATCCAATTATTTCAACCACGGAAGTACAGATGCCTTCTCTGTTTCCTTGATTTTAACTTCAAACCTTTTTACTGTAGTGACACCTGGGCTCCAGTTAACCAGGACCTGAAATGAAAATAATAAAAAGAACGAGGTTGGGTTTTGCCTCCATTTTATTACATTTTGGGTGAAGTATTAACCTATGATTAGCCATCTTCCTATTTCATGCATAATTTATATGTGATTAAAAAAGGCAAAGAGGTTTTCCAATAGAGCACTCCCCTTAAAAAGAAAGAGCATTGATTTTAATGATGAAGCTATTAATGCTAGGATACAGTGGCGCTCTTAATGGGAAGTATGAAATTATATAGTATATGTTTATCATTGGAAAAATAATGGAATTAAAAATGCAGCATTTTTAGTTTGATTTTATATAATAAAATCCTATAAAGCAAAAATTCTCAAGCAGTGTATTACAAAATCCAGATATGCATCGTAGAAAAACAATAATCAAAATCTTCCTTGTGTCTACCCCTTTCCCAACTAAGATTGGAAACCCCGCACCCATTTCTCTCTCCAAAATCAGTAGAAAAAAAAAACAAAAACAAAAAATATTACAGTAAAATTGTCCTCGTTCATTAATTGCTATTTATCGTGCAAAACGAGGCAAAATCTATCCTCGTGTGCCCTCTCTCTCCCCCATGGGAGATCCCCTAAAAAAACAGGGCATTCATAATTATTGATTAGTAGAAGCCAAAACCTAAAACAGATTTGTATTTCAATTTGATCTGTGCGATATTAATTTTTTTGGTAGCAAAATACCTGAAGAATACTGATATGATCATGTTGAATTGCCTGCACTTACATGTAGCAGAATCATATTACTCACTGCGGCACATCATCTGTTTTGGTATGTGCTGAGTTTTATCAGAGCAAAGTAATCAGCGACGCTGATTTCCTCATTTATTGAACCATACACAGCCAATACGAAACCGGATAAAGGCAAGGTATGACTTACTGACAATACAACAATAACAGAACGATGCTCCCAGAAAAATAATATATTGGCTAATTGAATTCCACGGCAACGAACCACGCCGCGTTTCAACTAATTGGTTGTTGCGTGAGAGTAGTGCGGATGTTCGTCCCCATTTTTTCAATTTGGTCACTGAAACGTACCATGATGAAGGTTATGACATGAGATGAAATTATTCAATGCCGCGTGCTTTATTATGTAGCAGAATCCAATTCACGCATGGAATGGTTTCTAAAAGAGTCTGAAGAGAGAGAGAGAGAGAGAGAGAGAGAGAGAGAGAGAGAGAGCTCTGCCATTGACTCAGCTTCAGGATAACTTAAAAATGTGACCTTAAAGATCAATACGTGAAGATACGTCACATTTTTCTTCTATATTCTACAGGAGGAGAATACAAATAACATCGCAATGCTTTATGTGTTTGTGTATGTGCACTATCTATTTAATAAGATATTTCTGAAAAATTGCCAAGGTGTAACGTTTCAGACGCAACAGGAATCCATTATTTGTGAGCAAAATTACGCGAATCACATAGCACGTCTGGGGAAGTTTATAGCCTACCACTGGCATTATAATAGTTTCATAGTGTAAACTTAACTTAACCGGTGACTCTCTCACATTTCAGTTTTGTCAGTACGTGTAAAATCCCCGTCAAATTCACGCAAAGGGAATGTCGCATACTGTAAGGGGGCCAGCGTGCTTAGTCTGGGTATAAAGTCCGTGTTTTCCCAATGATCGCGTCTTTTCATTAAATTTGCTGTGTCATCTCTTTCTTTGTACTGTTATAAATCATGAGTAAACCATCTTCTCTGTCTGAGGTCAGCAGGATGGTGACGTCATTCAGCCCTATGGAACCCCTAAAAATCATGTTCGATAATGTGGAATTAAAAAACTTCGTGT